TTTAAATACAATTAACTAAAATTTTTAAATATAAAATCAAATATAAATTATCCAAATATAAATAAAAATCAATTCAAAATAAATAACTAAACCAACAATTAACAAATTTGTTCCAAACATAAACAAAGATTAATCCAAGTTAAACTAAAACATAAGCAAAAATTAATACAACATAAATAAAATAATTAAACCAACATAAAAAAAAATTTAGTATTTTGAAAATAAAGAAAATCAGTACCAAGAAGGGTAAGGCCGCAATAGAACCGCATATGGCTTCGGCAATCCATATAGTAGCAAGCAGATGGCTTCGGCAGTTTGGCAGCAGCAAGTAGATGGCTTCGGCAATTTGGCAGCAGCAAGCAAATGGCTTCGGCAGCAGCAAACCAACAGTGCAGTGGAGGGAATGGGATTTAAGATGGTCCAACCGGTGCAAAAGAGAAAATAAGGGACGACAGAAGGTGAGCACTGAGAAAGCCAATGGTAGAATCGTAGAAGGGTGGCAATGGAATAGAAGGCATTCAGATGGTAGAGTTGCATAATAAAAGGAGAGGGAAAGATGGGGAAGGTGAAAATGAAAATTGAAAAATGAATTAGGGATAGGGTTAAATATATGTAGGGGAATGAGTTGGGTTAATTTTTATGGATTGAGTTGAATAAAATTGAGTTAAATTTAATTTTAATTAACTTGAGTTTGAGTTTGGGTTTGGGTTTGAGTTTAAAAGGTAAGTTAAATTTAAAATAAAATTAATTTATATTTATTTTAATTTTTACATAGACAAAAATCCTCACAAGACTTTCCAAGACAAAAAAATTTTTTCCCAAAATTTCACAAAAGAAAAATGCTCCCATCCTATTCCACAAGAACAAATGTTTCTTCTGACCCCGTCCCATGACAGGATCCTACAGGACCCCACAGGATCAGAGAAAATTACCTTCTTAAGTAGATATGACCCATCCTGTTAACTCGACAGTCGAAATGACCTAAATCAAAAACCAGGGTTACGAGACGAGGAGTATATCATTCTCCGTTCCGTCCATTCGAAGCGAAGGCAGGTAACTTCCACAGATCTATACGAAGCAGAAGAAAATCAATGGAGAGCATGATCGTCACCAACACGCCGGCTTCAGATCTCGCCTTCACTAATCTCGCCTACTGCTCGCCCGCCGATCACCATGGCTTCGGCGTCCCAGGTTCTCAGCTCTTCCTCGCCAATGTCGCCGACGTCTTCGTCCTTTCTGTTTCATATCCTTTTTATTTGCTCTTTCTCTTCGATTTCATGTGATTTACAGTTTCATTCCTTTGTTTTGCTTGAAAATTCCAAGTTATTTTAAAATTAGTATATGCTACTCTCGTCGTCTTTATAACCGTTTGAAAATTAATGTTGTGATCGATAATTTTGAGAAATGAGGAGTGATTGTTTTGTTTCGAGAGAGTAAGAATTGTTTTGATTTTGAGGATTAATCACGCCTTTAATCCAGATGCGCATGATAATTCTCAGATGAGTTGATAATCGGTTGCTAGCATGAATACTTTAGTGTGATTCTTTATTTTGCTGATTAATTAACTGCAATATGCGTGAGGCTCTACTCTTTTTTCTTTTCTTTTTTTTTTTTCCTTTTTTTAGCCATCACATGAACTGATGTTTAGAGGCGAATGATTATTTGATAATGTATTGCTGGTTCTTTTTATAATTGATGAGAATGAGAATTGGTTTAGTTACATGGTAGTTTCATTTCTGTTTAGTTGCTTTACAGTC